CAGTGTAAGACAGTGATGACGGTTGGTATTCACATGGGCACGTCGGCCACGTACTCGATGCGCAGCAGCAGGTCGACGAGGTCCTGCGCGCGCAGCCAGCTCCAGGGCACGGGCTCGCGGCAGCGCGCGCCGCGCCGCGCCACGCCGCCCAGCGCGCACACGGCGCACACGAAGCACACCACCGCAAACACTTGGAACAGGCACTTCAACGACTCCCTGCAATCACATACTGGAACATTTGAGACGTCTCGTTAATCCCTAACTGATAAACAATTACGAATAATTCCTACTCTTTATCCAAATTCATCTGTAATTAGATGCTATTTAGTGCATCTTCAACCATGGTCGTTCAGCTAAGCACTCCCTTTAAATCAATTTATGCACCAAGATATTATATTATGTACCATGCAGCAACTAAAATATAGTTATAGCACGAATAGGTCGGCTAGACCAAGGAAGTATCACGCTCACATAGAATAATACCAACATAAAGTAGCAGCTTAATACAGCTGTGTTTCATATGATTAGTGTAGAAAACGGGAGACTTTATCATGAATAGATGTAGATGACTATGAATCACAACAAAGTGGTTGCTAGACTATCAGGCTGGTGGACTGTGTGCTCATTTGTCACCATTATTATAATAAAAAAAACCTTTTTGTTTTAAATTAAAGAAATTACCACGTTTTATTATGAATTTAAGATACTATTTAAAATTTCACCTCATGAGGAAGTTAACTTAAAATTAATTCTTAAAAACAGAAAATTTTGATCAACTTAAATTGTATTATTCCTTTCCTTCCTATCCATGAACTATGTTTTTTTTTACTTATTATAAGCCAGTGCTTGACCAAAATCCCACCTAGTGGTAAGTAGTGATGTAGCTTTAGATGGTAAATTGCACCGTCTTAGCGTAACAAAAACCTATTCACTTTTGTCTTGAAGACGCCCAGGTCGTGTTCGGACGGAAAGATAGACACCAGCAATCTATTCCACTCCTTTGCTATAAGCAAAAAAAAAAAAGACGAAGCATATCATTTGGTTCTAATGCGTGGAATATCGACAACAAAGGGGCGAAGACCCGCCGACCGCCTAGTTGTCCGATGGTGGAAGAAAGGAGATGGAGGAATTAAAGCGTGTAATTCCAGCGCACACTCACCGAAATACATCCTATAGAATACCGACAGGCTGGCTACTCGCTGGCGCCTGTGCTCGAGGTTGACAAGATTAATTTCAATCAAATCAAGGTTACCAATGAGCCTCTTAGCAAGTCTCTCCATTGAGTCCAACGCTGTCAGGTGGCATTTTGCAGCACCAGCCTATATGTGACTATTACTCTTTGCACAATCGGACTTGCGCTTTATATAGGGTAAGAAGCTGCCCATACGTGAAGTACCGCCGCACCCTTGCAAAGACACCAAGTTTCTTAGCGGCTACTTTGCCTCTGGACACAATGAACCGCCCATAGTTGAGGTTCGGAGAAAATTCAACCCCTAACAACTGAAGGCGGTCCAGTGTACTCCTTTTAGCGGTGAAAAGACTTGATTGTGTTTTGGGAGGAGTTGAATCTCACGAGATTGGCACTTGGTTGGTATCTCTCCACAACTGTGAGGTCGTCTGCATACCCATAGATACCGCGAATGAGCAAATCATTTATATGCAGCAGGAAGACGTGGTAGAGCCATGCTGTAACTATATCAGTAGTATAGTTGTAGCACGAATGGGTCGGCTCGACCGGGGAAGAACCACGCTCTCACAGAATACCAGCGTAAAATAGCAGTTTAACACTGTTGTGTTTCGTATGGTGAGTGTAGAGAACCGGAGACCCTTTTTACTGGAAAAGAGGCATAGAGAAAGGACCCCTGAGCAACTCGGGCGTTTGTCGCGATAGGACTGGACGAGCAGTCATCGATGACGACTCGGAGAAATTGTTCACTCAGAAAGTCCTTCACCCAGTTAATCAGTTTTTAACAATGGTAGAGCCACGCGGCAGCTTTTGCTATCGCACGGATGGGCCGGCTCGAACCGGGGTAGTACCACGACCTCACAGAAAACCAGCGTGAAGTAGAGGTTTACCTCTGCGTTTCGCTTGGTGAGTGCAGGTGGCCGGAAGCCCTTTTTACTGGAAATGAGGCATTCCATCTTAGTCCTCACGGGTGACAACGCATCTACATTTTGATTTGTAACAGAGGATAGATGTAGATGTCTATGGGCCGCAGCAACCACTTACCATCAGGTAGACTGTGTGCTCGTTTGTCACCCTTATCCTATAAAAAAAAATCAGGCCAGGGGATAACCCGTACGTTGCAAGCTGGCCCAATAGGCTATCAACGCGCCCAATAGGCTATCATGCCGCCCAATAGCCTATCATGCCAAGCCCTGTCATATGTATAATTCCATTTGCATTACATTCTTCATAAAGATCACAATGTTTAAATTATTTTTAACTCATAAATAGTAGACACACATAACCTTAGTAGCACACAACACAATAAGGCGGCATTAACAGGCTCTAAGTAAATTTCAAAGTATGCAAGCAACCCAGTTCTAATTAAACAAAAGAGTGACTTTCAATAAGTATTATTTATAATCTATATTGAATAAAAAAGTTTCTGTTTCTATTTCCAGGTATGCTCACTGCCGGTATTAATTAAATTATTAATTGCAATTTGAAGAAATTATTAATTGCAATTTGAAGAAATTATTAATTGCAATTTGAAGTGCTGATTTACTTGTACGAGGGGTGTTTTTAAGTTCGCGAAATGGGTAGGTAGGTAATAAGTAGGTACGTCGCTGTATTACGTGCTAATTGAGCAACACATTATCTTACCAAGCGCGGCAAAGCAGTTCAGACTATACTGGAAGAGATGTCATCAATTTACGGAGACTCTTGTCCAAGTAAAACTATGGTTTACAAGTGGCATACCCTTTTTAAATAAGGCAGAGAGTCAGTTGAAGACGACCCACGGCCAGGAAGGCCGATCGAAGTGACCACTTCGGAAATTATTCAAAAAGTACAAAAATTAATATTAGAACATGGCCGCCTGAAGAAAAAACAGCTCGCAGAAATGGTAGGAGTATCAGATACAACCATTTTCAAAATTCTTCATGACCATCTTGTCATGATTAAAGTCAGCGCAAAGCAACTGCGCGTGGAGTGTTCTCGTGCATTTTTAGACCTCTGTATGGAAGACAAAGATGGAGTGTTGGCTCGAATTGTTACTGGTGACGAAACTTGGGTTCACCATTATGAACCTCAGTCCAAACAGGACTATGCAGCTGCACAAAAAAGGCACACCACCACCCAAGAAATTTAAGGTGGCACAATCGGCTGGGAAAATCATGGCGACAGTCTTTTGGGACTCGGAAGGAATCATATTGATTAATTATAAAGATAAAGATGTCTCCATAACCGGAAATTACTACGCTTCAATCCAAGAACAATTGAAGGAAGCCATAAAGGAAAAAAGAAGGGGAAAATTGACCCAAGGAATCCTTCTTCTGCACGATAACGCGTCTGTTCAAAAGTGCCATGTTGCGATGGCTGACCTGCAGAAGGTGGGCTTCGAAATTTTGCCACATCCATCCTATAGTCCCGACCTGGCTCCCAGTGATTATTATCTATTTCCAAATTTAAAAAAAGAACTTTGTGGGAAAAAGTTTTTAAGTGATGAAGAAGTGAAGGCAGCACCTCATAACTCAGTTAAAAAGCTCATATGTGGTAATTTACATGGTAAATTAATAATATTTGATTGAAATACGAGTATAAATCATTCTTTTACAAACCAAAAATATCTCTTCAGACTCCGATGCTGTACTTCAGTTTTACGTTTATCACATTCAAAGCATGGGAGTTCCGCTTGAGTAGACACTGATGCATATTCTGAAAGAAAAAAAGTAGTGAGAGTGTATATACATTATTGCCTGCGCCTCTCTTCCCAGGTCAAACTGACTTTCAAATCATCACATGTCTTTGATATATATATATATATTTGATTAAGAAGAACTGTTTTTCCCAAGATTACCTTCATCACCTAACACATGGTAAATCAGTCCACCAGATTAATAATATCAGCTTCGATGAACGACAAATTTAAGTTTTTGCATGATTTTTTTTTGTAAAATAATTTCAATGATATTGTACACTATGACTACTTAAAGTCGGATTTTTAAATTCTAATTTCGAACGTAACAAATATAATTATTTGACTTCGTCTTGCTTCGTGAATGATGCTCCTTATCACCAGTGTGTTTCAAATATATAATCTTACCTTTAATATAATGGATTTCTACAAATTAAATGTTAGTTCCGTTGCAACTGTGACTAATACTAAATTACTACAAAGTTTACTTAATACTTCAATTTAACTACTACACACAACAATAATCAAAACTTGGTTTTAAAATACCATGTGTTGCACCAAATATGACATTAAATGAATACAAAGGTAGTGTTAAATGTCGGTCGCAAACGAGATTGCTGATCATGAGCTCTCGTGTTCGAATCCCGCGTCAGGCCAAAATCAGTTATTGGGGTTTTCTTTCAAGATTTTCTCAGTAGCAGCTAGGGGTTAGGAAGTTGACGGTATTTCATTGGCTGTTGGTCCTGCACGTGATCTCCCTCCGCTCGTGTCAGATTAGTCTCATTGGACTATAAGAGTGAGGGAGTGCACCCATTTTCGTGCATATACACTTGAGCAATATAATCTAGTCCTGCTCAGATGGATAGTCTCAGTTGTTACTGGCCGCCGTGACCGAAATTCGGTCTGGAGGACAATGTATACAATAATGCGAGTGTTACATTATTACAAAAATGCAACGTTGACAGACATTCATATCACAATCAAAACACTGATTGGAACTAAAATGAACAGGAAACCCCAACTGGGCAGTGCTTGCAATGGCAGAGGATGTGAGGATCTCTTTTTATATTTAGAAATTTGGCTACACCACACGTTATTTCTTTGTAATGGGTCTAAATGGTTTTTTTTAAATTTCTTGGTTTAATTTCATTAAAACATCTTATTATGCATGACCTTGTCGTCAACTGACAGTTTTATTTGAGATTTTTGTTAAAGGTTGTGCCTTAATTATTTATTGACACAATTTTTTTTATTTAGTTTGAAGAAGCATGAAAGTCATGTCGAATATCTGAAAATGCGATACCGAATATGCGTTTTCATTTATTGCCGTACAAAGAGCAACACATTGTGTAAAGAAAAACCTAATGACGTAACTTCTTATTTTAGACAATACATATAAACTACATAATCTAATAAATATATATGATAAACAAGAAATAAATAATACACCCATTTCAAATCAAAATATTATAAATATGCACCAAACCATATCCTACTACACTATAAAATATATCCTCAACATTTACTATTTTATATAACATATCAAAGATTACCACTTTCCGTTTGTACTTGAGCATTACATGTCTCACAGCAAACCGTGTTGAATTTCCCACTTGGGTCAGAATATTTGGAATCAATTAATTCAAGATTCAATTTTAAATTATCTATTAATGCCTTTAACTTTCTATTTCCATCGCATTCTTCGTCCGCCATCTTCTGCAGAATTATCACATTTTCCTCATACCTATCAATCTCAGATTGCATTTCTGCGATAGTGAAATTTGAATGTTGGATGTCACTTTCTAATTTGGTTGCATTTTCCTTTAATTTTTCGCATTCTAAACATTTACTGCAGTCGATACAAGTTTCGACATTATTGTTATTAACATAAGACACATTTTCTGCTAGTGCTGAATCTGTTTGTATTGCGATATCTAATGTACTTGGTACCATTTTACTATCTACTGTTTCAGAACATATACAAAGTTCATATTCATCTGTTTGTGTTGATGCCATAACTAATAAAGTATCACAATGTACGCAGCTCTTATCGAAATTTCTAGAAGAATTTAAGTCAGTTATATTGTGTTTGGAAATGTTACAGAAGCTCAGTCTTATTTCATCGAACAATGACATGTTGGTCGGCCGTCCTTGGTCCTCCTTGAGTGCGTTAATGAACGACTCTTCGTCTAATATCCGGTTGTCTAATAAAGAATGTTTATAAAGTGTTACATAGTAGAAAGCAAAAGCGGAAAATTATTGTTAATTGTTTTTATATAGCTTTACAACAGCTTATAAAAACAGGTGTGCCATACAAATCAAACAATAATACAACATATTTTCGATATAGAAAGTTTTGTCTTACAGTAGTAACATAATAATTAGGCACACCTCTTTAAATATAACTGCTATGCAAAGAAAACTAATTTGTGTTTTATCTATGCGAAAGGGAATAAATAAATATAAAGCATGGTTAAAGCTTTTAAGAAAAAGAATATAGGTGATTAGTGATGGTGTAAGAATATCCACTACCCCATATCGTCCCGTGGGTATCTTAAGAGGCAACAGAGGGAAAATGAAACAGGAGATGGGCAGCAGCATCTTCAACCTGCTTGCCAAGCGTAGCAACTATGGCAAAATCCCCCCTTGAGGAGATCTATGATGGGGGCCTATGTTCAGCAATGGACTTTTATAGAATAATGGATGGATATTTGGCTCAATGTAAAAATAATATTATACCGACACACATATATATAGACAGAAACAAGAGAATATCAACTTTTTGATAAGAAAGGCTGTCAAAGGGAGTCCCTAGATGTATCCATAGATGCCTACATCTATCCTTATCCTTATTATGGAATAAAACAGTCCGAGGTCTATCGAGATATAGTCTGGGTCTATGAGCCCATAGAACATATGAACACAGAAGTGTAATGCCCCTATTTCACTTTTTTATATCCTTTGTGAGCATGGTCCTTCCTCTGTTGAACCAACCAATTTATAATGTAGCCACAATAGATCTGCAGTGAGTTGTATATAAATATACAGGAAGTTGAAAGAATTGTAAAACATGACATTAAACATAGCAATAAATCTCAATTGTTGTGGAACATTGTCATTGGCATAGCACTTGTGTTGGATAAACTTCCCAAAAACGTGTTCATATTTTTCTAAAAAAATATTATTTTACTGAATTTCCAAAATCACCCAACACTATGTAGGACATAATATTATAGAGTGGAAAAATGAGTTCTGCAAAATGAAAGCACAAATAGGAGTTAAACAAATAAATTAAAGCATTTGTAGTCTAATTTCTACACCAATTTCAAATGTGTTAACTTGTGATATTTCTTTTAAGCGGTAACAGTATTAAAAAAAATGTCAAAGATACCTTGAGAAAACCGGCTATCAGCATTAAGGCTGTCTAGTGCTGTGAGCATCTGGTCCTCAGTGTAACTGACGTCTATTGAACGATCCAGGCGCATATGCGTCTGGTTTGACTTATTGAACATATCCTTCAACTCCATCTCTAATAAGATCTGAAAATTATTTCAGTTACAATAAATATTATGATCATTCACAATATTCAGTACATTCTTAGAAACAAGAGGAAGCCATCTGCGGAATATTATTAAACATAGGACAAATTGCATTTATCATCACATTTGGCATATATGTCTTGCTACTTAAAAATTATTTGAGCACTTCCTATTTAGTACACACAGCAAGTAGACAAAAATTACTCTCTGAGTAAACATTGCACAGTATTGGTGATAAAGCAAAGTTCAAAACTAAACGTGATGTAATTGGTTTATAATCGATTTTATTATTGGTTCTCAAGATATGACACAAAATAAATTACCAACAAAACAGTACAAACGTACTCTTTGGACAAGAACCTTTAAAAGACGAGTATACATTTTAAATTATATATATATATATTTGAAATCGAAAAACGTGAATTTAAAGTAACCTTTTCCTTAATGACTTGTTGCATAACCTCCTCTTGGTCTTGCAAGCGAGCAGATACGTCGGCATGTTCAGTTCTCAGAGTCTCATTCTCTTCTAAAAGAACCGATTGTCTGCTTGCGTACATCTCGTTGATACGATGGCACTCGTCCTTTGACTTTGACAGCAGCTCTTGAAGGGTTAATTTCTGTAATTTTACATTACAAAGTAATTTTTTAATTTAATTAAAATTAATATTGTATGATGGAGTTGGTTACCTATCTTAAACAAAGTGATAAACCACTATTTCATCTGATATGTGATAATATAGCCACAGATGGTAAAGGACAGGATGAACATGGACAAAACAAAGATCATGTTTAATGTCCATGTCACACCTATGCCGGTAGTTGTTGGGAGCACTAAGGTCGAAGTTGTTGATGAGTATGTTTACCTGGGACAAATAGTCCGACTAGGTAAGTCCAACTTCTACCGAGAGGTCAACCGACGGATTCAACTCAGCTGGGCAGCGTTCGGGAAACTACGACACATCTTCTCGTCAGACATACCTCAAAACCTTAAAACGAAATTGTACAACCAGTGCGTGTTGCCAGTGATGACTTACGGACCTGAGACGGTCCTTCACTGCTGGCCGTATGAGGAAGCTCAAGGTCGCTCAGCGACCTATGGAGAGGGATATGCTCGGAGTTTCTCTGCGTGATAAACTTAGAAATGAGTATATCCGCAGTAGAACCAGAGTAACCGACATAGCCCAACGGATTAGTAAGCTGAAGTGGCAATGGACCGGCCATATAGCTCGAAGAACTGACGGGGAAGAAAGGTTCTTGAGTGGCAGCCTCGTACCAGTAGGCGAAGTGTAGGGCGACCACCCACGAGATTGAGTGACGACCTGGTAAGAAATGCAGGAAGTCGATGGATGCAGGTGGCTCGGGATCGTGCTTTGTGGCATTCCTTGGGGGAGGCCTATGTTGAGCAGTGGACTTATGAAAGGCTATAATATTGATGATGATGATTTTTTAATAAAGCCCTGGGGAGCCCCAGCCCATAGATGGGAACAGTATTCCATGTGAGGCCGAACCTGCGCCTTGTAAAGTTGCAGGCGGAATGCCGGCATGATATACTGTCCCGCTCTGCTGAACGCGCCAAGCTTTTTAGATTCCAATTTGGCCTTCTCTTCCAAGTGAACACGAAATTGCACATCACTCGATATGTCAACGCTGAGGATTCCGATACTGGTTGAGGCAACAAGTGGAGTGCTTTGAAACTGATGCTCCGATCTGCAAGAAAGCTGGTGATCCAATTGTACAATTTCTCGGGAAGACCATAGGAAGGGAGCTTCGAAAGAAGCGCTTTGTGCCAAACCTGATCGAAGGCCTTCGCAATGTCCAAACTAACGGCCAACGCCTCCCCCTTGGACTCTACTGCTTCTGCCCATCTATGGGTCAGGTAGACCAGAAGATCACCAGCTGAGCGACCCCGACGAAAACCGTATTAGCGGTCACTAATCAGCTGGTGATCCTCAAGGTACCGCATGAGCTGGCAGTTAATAATTGATTCCATTATGTTGAAGAACAAGGAGGTGATGGCGATAGACTTGTACTTAGACGGGTCGGAGCGGTCGCCGTTTTTAGGGATCGGGTGGACCAAAGCCGTCTTCCGTGAATTCGGGACTACCTAGAGTGTAGGAGTACCGAAAAAGATGCGTTAGAACCGGTGCCAACTCTGGATCACACGTCATCAGCTCAATTGGAGGAATTTTCAGGCCCACTCGACTTGTGGATGTCCAGGGAGAGGAGTGCTTTTCTAACCGAGGGCTGTGTGAATTGCACATCCGGTACGGAGCACTCGGACCACAGGATGGTCGGCGGTGTAGTCCCCGTCATCGTGAGTCGAGTTAGACGCAAAAAGGGAGACTAAAAGGTCGGCTTTGTCTTTTGCATCTTGGGCCAGAGAGTCGTCCTCCCTGTGCAGAGATGGTAGTGATGGCTTACAGAAATTCCCTTGGACAGCCTTGGCGAGAGACCAGAATGCACGGGTTTCCGAAGGAAGTCGAACTAGTTTCTCGCGAATTCTGCCCATGTGCTCTGACTTTGCCTTGGCAATAACTCTTTTGAAGGACCTGGAGGCGAAGTTATACTTCTTTTTAAGTGTGCTGGTGTTTACATCCTGAGTCGCCGAAGCCGCAGCCCAGGCTTGATAACAATCCTGCTTACTGCGTAATGCAGTCTTACAGGAGAGACCAAACCAAGGCTGAGATCTGCCTCCGATGGGTACCATAGATGATGGAATAAATAGTTCCATTCCCTGTAGCACCACATCAGTGACAGAGTCAGCAACAGCGCTGGGATCATCCGGCGAGAAGCAAACCCGCCCCCATGGGTAGGATGCAAAGAAAGACCGCATTCCGTCCCAATCCGCCGACCTGTAATGCCAAACACGGCGGCAACCTGCAGAACGCAACCGCGAGGGGAGCGTGAGTGGCACCACACTCCGGATCAGACAATGGTCCGAAGAGCCGAGAGGGGCATCGACGGAAACCTAATATCCGACCGGATGAGAGGTCAGCAGAAGGTCCAACAGGGAAGGTGTATGATCCTCCACATCTGGAATCCGCGTAGGCGAAGTAACCAGTTGTGTCAGACCATATGCCAATGCAAAGTCATAAACAGATCTCCCCGCATGATCGGTTAAACATGAACCGAGCCATTCGGCGTGGTGGGCGTTAAAATCGCCAAGTATCACGATCTCTGCGGATGGGACCTGTTGTAGCAAAGAATCTGTAGCCATTTGGACATGGTCAATGAGTCGGTCTGTTTCGGCATTACCGCTATGGGACCTATAGAGGCACCCGTAGACGCGCGGATGGTCGTCGCTGTCTACGCGTAGCCATAGGATGGACAGGTCCGAACCTTCAAGACTGCCGAGGCGTCGAGAACAGATGTCCTCTCTGACATACACGCAAACTCCAGCCTGAGGCACAAAGGAGTGCTCCAATTTGTACCCCGGGTAGGAGAGATACGAAATATCAGCCGGAGAGGAAACCTGCGTCTCGGTCAGAAAGAGCAAGGCCGGCTTCGCCGTCTCGAGATGGTAGTGGACGGCGTTTAGGTTCGAGTGAAGTCCCCTGATGTTGCAGAAATTCACGGATAGCGTGGCAGGGGACGCCTTGGTCTTGTGGCTGTTTGCCCCGAGCAGTTATGTTTTTGAGCGCAATTTTGTCCCTCGCCCCCCCCTCCCCCCAGAATACGCGCGGCAGCCTTAGAACCCACGCTCAGGAGTGGAATAACGTGGTCGTGGATGCTCAGCGAGGGATTCTCCAGGGGTGCTGGTACCCTTCTGGGGTAGTCTAACGTGTAATTCCGCTACCATGTTGATGGAGGGGGGGGGGGGGGGGGGGATTGGACCACGCAGAAGCAGAGCTTCTACTTCACGCCGGTATTCTGTGAGGTCGTGGTACCAACCCGGCTCGAGCCGGCCCATACGTGCAACAGCAAAAACTGCTGCGTGGCTCTACCACCGTGTTTCTATATCCTTGTTTCATTCTTCATAGTAGTCATTTGATTTTAACATATAGATATTGAATTTTAACATATGGGTATTAGTTAGATTTGCCTTAGTTGTAGAAGTGACATATACTTGATTTTTTTCCTTTCACTAAACTTGTTTGGTTTTGTTATTTATTACGGTTTTAACCATTGAACTTGTTTACGCAACTTTTGTTTAATAAATTGTTTGATGTTGATGTTTGATGACTTTTTTTTACACACAAAAACATTTTTTCAAATAATAGAATTACCCCCTCCCTATCCTTAGAGTTTCCTTCCAATGCTGACCATGGGCCATGGAAATAAAGGGGAACACGAAATTTTACTGCCACAAATATCACCCACCTTTGCAACGCTGCCCTAAATATCGCACGGAGCATCCGCGTTTCACCGAGATTAAATTTAGAAAAAATGTTCATCTTTTTTTACTCTCATAGAGGGTATATTTATCATAGTTGCCACGCTTGGCAAGCGGGTTGGCATCGCAGTTTTTTATTGTTAGTCGTTATTAGAAAGACGCTGCTGCCCATCCCTTATTTATTTCTCTAGATTTATTTCTCTCTGTCGCCTATATACATGAGTGATAAATAACATCACGGTGAAAAAGTTCCAAAATAACGTTGTTCCTTCACGCCGCCACTATTTTCTCCGTTATTCCTGTCACTGATTTAACTAAACAAAATGAACTACACGTACCTTGTTACTGTGTAACCAGGTACGTGTACCGTGGAACAGGGGATCAGTCGCTTCTTTCGAACCCACGGAATGATATGAATATTCATACACCGCCACTACACGGTAATTGATAATTTCTCAAAACATTTCATTTATCGACAAATCGCCTTGCAATCGTCGTTACTCTAGCACTCACTTGACCTTCATACAAATAATTCGATATTTTAATTCTTGATAATTTTTTTTTTATTTTTGGAGAAGAACATAGTAATTAATGACTCTTAGTTATATTTACCATCATTTAAAAAAAATTGTCTTTGTTTTGACCTACTATACTCTTTGGCTTGACCATAGTTCTGACTAAGTCTGTCCAATATAATTTTAAATGTAAAATGTTATGAGGTAACACACAAAAAAAAAAAACATACGTGTCGAATTGAGTACCGTTTCCTTTTTGGAAGTCGGCAGAAAATGTCAGGGCCCGAGAGGTTAATATTGGATGCACGGCAATAAGAAGAGGCAGGCTAAATAGAGCGCAGGAGAGTATTGTTGCGAAGGCAATTTTAGATCGAAATCAAGAATAGTAACCGAACCTGAGTTTATTAATAAATTTTTATTTGTTGTTTTATTTTAACAAAATTAAAACGTAACAACATAATGAATATATACATTGTTACCTCTGAGGACTAAGATAGAATGCCTTACAGTTTACAGCCTGTTATTGGCTCTTTACTGGCTCTATACTTTTCACACATTTTATAAATAACTAGTGATCCGCCTCGGCTTCGCACGGGTGATTTTTGGATATCGACAACAGCGCTGCCTAACGGGTCCAAATGTGATTCTAAACCATCTAGGGATCCAACACACAAAAAATTTCATCAAAATCGGTCGAGCCTTTTTCGAGTTTTAGTGAGAATAACGGACAGCAATTGGATTTTATAAATAGCGATATAATCAAAATACGACAATTACAATGTAACAATCTTTTATTTTATTACTAATATAGTACCGACCTCACTTTCCAGCGCGGCGACCTGCTCGGTGAGCACTCTGGCGCGCTTCCTGCTCATGTCGAGTTCCCGCTTCACTTCCTCCAAGCTGCGCTCGCTGCAACACAGCCGATCGATAGCATCTTCGTAGTCGCGACGCACGTGTGTCAGAGTCATGTTTTCTTCGCGCAACCTAAACAACAAATAAGTAGTTTTTATTTTATTTAACAACACAGTGTTAATTAGTAGTGTGGATTTTACAATTTTATGTCTTGTCAAATGAATAAATTAAATCCCGCCCTGTGGGAGGTAAGTAACGCGTGTTGGCAACCACAGTTTTTGATTAGCATTGTGTTGTTTACAAAGAAATGCTATCGCCATTCTCCTATTTAAGTTTCTATCAACTTTTATGACACCCATGGGATGATAGATAAGAGGTATGTGAGGGTAATATGGTCACTTTCTTATAACTCAAAAACTACAGCCTTATTTGCATAGATGGCTCTTTGACACGATAGCTGACTGATGGACAGTCATTCAAATAATAAAGGGTCAAAAGGGCGCTGCTTTATCGACGCCATTTTGACAGTTGATATTATAGCAAATATTTTAGTCGATTTTAGTATTGGGTAGTGTATTTAGTTTTCGAGTTAATTTTTCGAAGTGTTCCTAATTATTGCCAAGGCTTGTTTGCTTTTTAGGGTTCCGTTCCGAAAGGAAAAAACGGAACCCTTATAGGATCACTTTGTTGTCCGTCTGTCTGAAAAAGGGTCTTAACAGACCCTTTTTCTCAAGAACACGTGGAAGTATCAAGCTGAAATTCATATCAAATACTCAAGTCTACTGTCCCTTGGGGCTATGAAAAAATCAAATTTCTAAGCCAACGCAATCAAAAGATACAGCCGTTTATGCCGCAAATTTTCGACATTCGCAAGGGAATCAAAACCTAGGTACTTCCCGTGAACTCAGAATCTTAAAATTTGGTACGAAGCAACCTATTATAGCACAGATAAAGGAAAAATTGCGAAAAGCATAAATTTTTAGTTACATCATATAATAAAAATATTTTTAATAACTTTAAACTTATATATCTACGGATTTGTTCGCACTTGGCCGGTTTTTTTCCTTAAGGTGGCACAAGTCGCGTGCTCGAACTCGCTGGTGGGCGCGACCAAAAAGCACGCTGTCTCACCTGACATCATGCCCGACAGAGATAGTATCAGTGATGAGCATATCGACACTAGTATTCACGCACGTCTTGTTCGTACGCCGTTCCGAACCATTCGAACAAAAACGAACACGATGCAACATCTATGTATACTAATATAATAAAACAAAAGAGTGTTTTTGTTTGTTTAAACGTGCTAATCTCTGGAACTACCAGTCCGATTTGAAAAATCTTTTTGGATATTATAGCCAGATTCATGTTGAATAGTATAAGCTATATAGCATTAGGCTATATATCTCAGCTAGCCTATATTTGTTAAGCAGGTCAGAAGAAAAAGCGCTCCCAAAATTATTTATCCGCGTACGCTGGTGTGTGTATGGTTAAATAGGTACAATGTTCTATAAAAATATAGATCTTTACTTCGTCTAAAAAAAAGTCCGCGATACCATGTCTATTTCTTATATATAAGCCACAATTAGGCATTTTGTGACAAAAAAAAAATGAAAATTTAATTATTAGGCATGGCATATTTATTCTTACGAACGAAAGTTACTTCATTATCAAGACAATATTATGAAGATAAGCTTCGTTCTTTATCGTTCGTTATACCATGTTTATATAGTACATAGTTTAACGCCTGCCGCGCACTAGGCAGCCTGGCTGCGCAGCCAGGCTGCGGCGTACGAAATATTTGAGTAGCTACTTCTAAATAGCCAATGGACGGCCAGTCGTGACCCTTTCTTCGAGGGATATGGACGTTGAAGAACTTGTAATTTTGTGTGTATTTCGTAAAAAAAGCAAAGCTAGAAGACATTGAATTCATCCTCTTTTTCTAGAACGGCACTAAAAGACGGCTCCGTGGCTTAGCAATGAGTTACTGCGCTGAGGCCGCGGGTTCGAATCCCGCACGGACCAAGTATATGTATGTTCCGAGTCTGGATGTTTGTCCTTGTGCAATTTGTGTTTGTAAACTGCCTCTGCGATAATTGAGAAAATCCTAGTGTGGGGGTAACGTTTAAAAAAAAGGCTTATTTCATACCTATTTCAAAGATGTTCGTAAATACCCCAGACCGGTTTTTAACACGAGAATGTCAGTGCAATCATTTGATACCTTTTGTAAGAAATTCAATCAAGGGCAATGATTGATATATCCCATATTGCTTCACGGTTTTCAATTTCGCGAATAAATTTCTCCGTATTGAAAGTCATTTTGTGATTTCGGAATACAAAATACGCCTGGCTGCTACCACAAGTGCGCGGTGACTGACGGCAGCCAAATACATTTGCCCTACTCATTCTGGCTGCGCGCAGCCAACGGGCTGCCGTGCAATCGGACGCGCTTTTATGGCTGCCGCAGCCGGGAGTTCGTGGCTGCTTAGGTGCGCGGGCTCCCATACACCGTCATATGTTCGACTGGCTGCCGCAGCCTGGCTGCGCAGCCAGGCCCGGTGAGAATTGAGAAGCCAGTATTGAAAGCTTCTATGAGCGAGGTTAGGTTAGTTTAATCATTGTCTATATCTACACAAATAAATAAAATTGAAGTGCCTGTTTGTAATGTCAAAATAACAGCTTTTTACTAATTGCATATGAAATTATATACGGTACTTATAAACACAATTTTTAATCCCTTTTATCCAATCTTCTTTTTCATGTCTGTCATAACTTTCATTTAATTTTTATTTTCAATTGCAGCAGATATCATAGCTGCTAGCATATTATTGTGAACTGTAGCTGAATGCATAGAAGTAGATTATTTTTCTCTAGAAGTATTACTTTTTGTATTTGGTACGTAATCTCAATCTTTATCCGAATCGTCCCAATCTTTTTCGGGGTCGAAAAGTGGTTAACTGCTAGTTAAAGCTATAGAACAGCAACAATTTTGAATGTTTAAAATTCCAATAATTTCAATAGTATAATAAATACGTAAAAATAATGTACATCATGTAATGGTGGCGTAAGAATATGCACTATCCCATTTTATCCCGTGGAATTCTTAAGAGACAACAGACGGAAACTAAAACAGGTGATGGGCAGCACCATCCTAATAAACTAAAAAAACTGTAGTTGCTAACTCGCTTGCCAAGCGCGGCAACTATGGCAAGCATTGTGGCAAGCTATGGGAAAGCCTATGTTCAGAAGAATTTTGATACGCAGTGATTAATGAATTTTAAGATTGTTTAGGAGTAAATGTTATAAAGCCATATTGATTTGATATCGGACATTTTATTCTTACTAGATGCACTTGATAAAATAGACGAAGGCGACGAAGAGGACGCAGTGGATGTGCTGAATTTATTTTGCACCAGCTGTTCCGCGCGACTTCGCCCGCGTATAATTTAGGGTTTTAATTTTTTCGTGCGGAACCCTAATTCTTATTCTAAAATAAAAGTAGCCTAAGTTACTCGTTATAACATCGGCTATCTGCCAGTGAAAATCCCGTCAAAATTGTTTTTTCTTTTATAAATTCGTAAAGTCACGATTTTTAGAAATGACGGTCTTGCATTAAATGAGCGATAATACCTTAACCCTTTTTAAGGCAGCGGGAATATATTTCCCACCACTAATATTCACATTATTAGTTAAGCAAATTTTAGGGAAAGATTTTTTCCTATTGGCAACATTTTTATGGATATCCGGTCAACATTTTTCATCTATGGTAATGACACGTCGCCATTTTAGATTTTACACTGTGACGTTTGGAAGACTGAAATCGGGTGTGTTTCGGTACGACTTCTAAAATCTTTATAAATCTTTTATATCTGCGACTCATGAACGGTAAGTTGTTATTATTTCTAAAGCTTATTGTATATTTCATTGATATTCAAGCATATTTTCAATTCTACATTTTGCAGATTTTGTTAGTAGGGGCTTTTTGTGGTGGTAAAAATGTTCCCTTTGCCCGTGGAGCTGACAGTATGTATTGGTTGTTACAGATTTATATTTTGAAAATGAATGAAAAGGCACTGAATGACTTGGAAATAGCTTGTGCATTAGAAGAGATTTTTGGTTTACCTGATGATCCCGATGTGTCAGATGATAATTTGGAATCCGATGAAGAAGATGTGCAGTACAGTACAGTGAAACTTCAAAGAATTTTAGAGAGCCTTGATGAGCCTCATGATGGAATTCTAGCACCCACACCTGATCCACCTGATAGTCTTATTAGTAATATAAGTAATGCGTCTGTTGAAAACCAACCTAGTCCATCACCTCAACCAAGCAACAGTGACCGGCTTAGGCGGGCAAGAATAATCCAAAATGCACCCAGTACTTCTGGCACTCAACAGACCTTACGGCGACAACCACAATCACCAGTAGCAAATACTAACTCAGATTCGGAAACAGATGATTCAGACGGCGAAGAGGAAACATGGAAAAAAACTATGTGGACAACTGATCGGCCAAGTCCTAGCGTTTACGATGAAATTCCGATGGAACCGGCAATTATGTTTAGCAGCCGTACTAGACCTGTAACTGTATTTGAAAAATTCTTCACTGATGAAGTCTACGATTTGATAATATATCAAACAAACTTATATGCAGAGCAAAGGAAAGATGAAGGATGGACACAATTAGATAAAAAAGAACTGAAGGCCTTTGAAGGGATTTTTATAATAATGGGATACAATATTCTGCCTTCTATTGACCTTTATTGGTCTTCCGACCCTGGTTTCAGGGTAGATGAAATAGCAGAGACTATGACCGTAAAGCGATTCAAGAAGATATTGCGAAATCTGCACGTGAATGATAATACACAGATACCAGATAAGACAAGCGAGAACTATGACAAACTTTACAAAATACGCCCATTATTGGATCTTATCACTCAGGCATGTCAGAAAAATGCCAAAGACTCCTCATCCCAAAGTATTGATGAATCGATGATTCTCTTCAAAGGCCGGTCTTCCATGAAACAGTATATGCCT